ACAGGTTATTATTCAGCCTTCTGATGCTCACGCTCACACACACACACACACGCACATACACACACACACGCACGCACGCACGCGCGATTGTTGGTGAGCGGCTGCGTCTGACTCCTGACGCTCCGTGTGTGTTTTTATTCCTACAGTGAGACAAAGGCCGTGTTCGAGTTGAGCAGCGCCTCTCCTGGAAAACAGACGAGAGCAGACGGACGCAGCAGGGGGAGGGGCTTAAAGCCGGCGTTTAAGGCGGACAGATGTCCCTACATGTGTAGCTCGCGGGTGACGATGGATGAAGATATCCCGTTAGAGTTCATACGTGTTTAATTATTTATGTTAATTCTGGTGCCTGTTAGCAGCTGAAACACATCCTCACGTGCTTGTGGATATCATATCATGCATATGGAGACATGACTGTAATAATAAGTAAAGGTCATCAGCTGTAGCTTCAGTGTGCTCATAGGAAACGTGATGAAATAACACAAAACACATTTCTCTTTATGGCCTATGTAGTTGTCATCATCAACGTTACATGACTTACAGAATACATGTGACCAACTAACATTTCATGTTCTACCACCGGATGTTTGGATCAGAATGTGAACCAATCAGAACTTAGATCAGGTGAGAGCCAGGCGTTTCCCGTCATCCTCTAGGTTTTGCAGCCAGTGGAGAGCAACTGCTCCAAAATCTGCGGCCGCCTTGATCTCACGAGGTTGTCGTTGCCTACGTAGGCATGACATCAGAGCAAGTCGGCGTCAAGTCGGACACGAATCTAACCGGCATGCACCGCTCGCCGATCACCGCTGGTCTAATCTGTGCAGAACCGGCTCATCTCGAACACGGCCAAACTCACCTCACACCGTCCAGTTTGTTCTTTAAAGCTTCTATTTACTCCACCGTGTTAGAATAGAATAGAATAATCCTTTAATAGTCCCACAAGGGGAAATTTGGTTGTGTCAGCAGCAACATCACACATATACAAACAATGCAGGACACAGAACAGAAGCACAGTTATTACCTATTTACATCATGGACAATAGTTACCAGAGCAGAGTACAATACAGTTGTTTATATAGGCGCACACATAATGTGTAAGCCTAGCAGGATACTGAAGATGTTAAAATAGTTTTAAAAGTTTAAGATGATTAAAAGAGTGTAGATTGTTTATTTTTTACCCATTCATTAAAAAGTAGACATGTAGCCTTCAATAAATTATTGCATGTATAAGCTGAGAAAAAGTAATGTGTAAGTTATAATTGTAGAAGTTATTACAGCACTGATGCCGACAACTGTTTTGTTTGGGAGCAGTTCTGATTGTACAGTCTAACAGCTGCAGGGAGGAAGGACCTTCGGAAACGCTCCTTCATGCATCTAGGATGACGTATTTAACACGTTTCCTCTACGCTGCAGGGGTTAAAGTTTACATCACGGAGTAAAAGTTCGGCAGACGCGGTTGTTTATATGGGGGGGCACCTAATAAGTTTCTCGCTTCTCTCCTTACTGGTTAAACACTAAATTACAAAGCCAGGTCACCATCAGCCCGTGAGTTTGCAGCCTCCAGTCATGCCGATGTCCACTCTGGTTTTAGATCTCCAAACTCATCGCGATCTTACTTCCAGGCTTCGCCATGATGCCAACAAAACAAATGTGTTTTCTTCCAGCACTTGTTAACGACGATCGCTGAACTGAAGAAGCTAAATGCTATCATTGTATTAGCTACTAGCACAGTAAACAGCTAATGCCGTGAAGCAGGTGGAGACCTCCCTCCCACCTGGACCACTAAACTGTCCAGAGGGCTTCAGAGCGATCTCCAGTCAGAAGCTGATCAACTTTCTGCCTTAAAAACCACTGAAACCAGTTTCAAAGCCGTAGCTTAAAGTGTTAAAAGCTCTTCAGGGTTGCTCTGGATTGCACGTGTCATCACTATGAAACGGGGGGTCCGTGGCATAAATCCTGTTTACGAACAAACACACGCCAAACGGAAAAAGGAAAAAACATCACTGCCGGCTCTTTGCCATGTCTGCACTGACGTAAGCGCCCATAAACGCGTCTCCCTCCCAGTCGGACCCAGTCAGATCCATTCTGCGATGGGCTCTGGTGTAACCGTGCCAGGGGAAGGCTGCGTCGCAGAGTCAGGGCCACGCCCACAGCAGGACAGGAGCGTTTGCGCCGCGTCCCCTGCCCGATGCTGGACTGCTGAATGACTTCTGGGATGGGGGTGGGTTCCTCCTGCTGCAGTTTGCTAAATGGTGACGGTTGGGTGGGTTTAATGCCTTCCTGTGAAACGTCATCATCCCTGAGCGACGGACGCAGGAACACCGGCTGGTGTGTTTACACATGCAGGCCCTTGTTCTGCCCTGCAGTCCTGCATCTGCAGCAGGGTAGTAAACCCTTCGGTTCCACGCTCAGGTGCTCTTCAGCTTCGGTTCTCCTGAAATCGCCGACCCGTGACGACCCGCTGCGACCCAGGCCACACCGTCCTTCCTCAGGACGCTTCAGCGTCACAGAGAACCCTGAGGCGTTGGCACTCAGGTGAGGGAGTGACTCATTTAAACACGTGGAACCGTTTTAAACCCACCGACGAAGCCGCTCAGAGTCACGCGTGCCTCCCCTCCTCCTTTTACCTTCCCAGCATGCCGAGCAGCGCACCAGCGCACGAAGCAAGCTCTCAGGAACCACAGCCATGGCGCTCTACTAACACCTCTGTAGGAAAACACAGGAAAGCAGCTTCCTGTCTGAGTCCAACACAGAGAAGAAACCCAGTGGCTCCTGGTGAGGACCGGTTGCTGCTGCAGACACGATTCCCTTCAGCTACCAGGAGAAACCGCAGCAGGCTGCTGCCGTGCCCAGCGCTTCCATTAGCCCGATAACTGGAACCCATTTAAGGTGGAATTCAATCAGCTGAGATTTCAGAGTTAAGCAAACAGACGCACGCTGCTGCAGCTGGCTGAGCAGAGCAGAAAAAGGGGCGGAGCAGAAATTTATGGAGCTGTCAAAACACATGACAGGACACAAACGCCGAGGTGTAATCCCATTACACCAAACGTGGCTCGGGGCTGCAGCAGCAGAGCAACTTGGCTCGACTTGAATCTGCTCGTGCTTGCTTTGGCTTACCCAGATAATAAATCAAATCACTAATTATCTCCTCAGAGATCTGGAGACATCTTCATTTGGTTGTTTTTCTTAATCCAGAGGTGCGAGCGACTTTCCTGCGGGTGGAAACCAAAAGCCCACCGAACCGCTGAGCGGTGACATCACCAGGGCAGTTGGTGAACGTGAGCGTTGCACGGGCGATTACCAACGTGACCTCGTGTGACTCTGGTTATTAACATGTTTGCACATCCACCATTGTATTAAGCTGTAATCTGAGTGTAATCTCCACAATCCAGCTGCTCCTTGCAACACGAGGAGAGTGTGGGGGGGGGGGGACCTTGCTCATGGTGACAGGTGTGCTGAAACGCAGCAGGGTTTGTCCGAGTCGCTCTCCTGTTCTTCGGTGAAGAAGGAGGCGTTTTAATCCGACACTAACGCTTCCAATAAAAACGATTGAATTCCAATTTCATTTAGCAGCTTTAGTCTGATTCATGGTGAGAAAACAAAGCACACAGAACTCCGTTTTCCCTGAGCGAGTGAACGCACCGCAGCACTCTGAGGTGTGGGAAACGGTGTACATGTTGTGAATCCCACTGAACTGGCACGTGCAACACTTCAGTGCAAAGGTGCATCTCTGTTTAATCAGATTAAGTCTGAATTATGTCTGCGTTCACGCCGGTTTCATTCACTATCCGCCTCCCCGCCGTGCCCTCACACACGTCTGGAACGTCTCCTGCGCTTCGACTCAGATAAACATAAAAACAAAGACTTTACCGAGCGAGGACGACCCAAACGGAGCCGAGTCGCACGATGTGAACAATAAACCGAGACGAGGTACAACGTCAGCTGCTGCTGTGCTCCGTTCGGCCCGTGCTATAGCTGCTGCTGCGTACGGCCGGAGGTGTCCAGGCAGGAAAACGAGTTCTAACTGTAAGACCTGACGATGCTAGCTGTAGTTTTCTACAGATACAGGCGAAAGGAAGCACGAGGCCGTGTCTGCTGCTGGACAGGAGTCGTGTTAGGCTAGCAAAACTAAAGTAAGTGAGAAACATCCAGAGATCCTTAATCTGCTTTACGAGGACCAAACCCTGATTTTATCTCCTGGACTAGGAACACGGAGTGCTTCGTTTCTAGATTTGCATCAACAGGAACGTCTTGTAACCCGTCACATCTTCATTTGAGTCCTCAGCTGGGTAAACACTAGAAACCTCGAGGATCGCATCCTGGTTGTTCCCCAGCCCAGACAACGGACAGAACAAGCCTGAACTTCTGACTAGAGGCTCCTGCAGGACGGTCCGACACCAAACGCTCATTTCTGCTCCGACTGATCCAATCTGGACTCTGTCTCGGTGTTTTACTCACTCACACACCGACAGGATGAAAACCCTAACCCGGAGGCCCCGACTGATACTGAAGATGTCTGACTTAGACAAAGACGTCCTTAAGCCACGCCTCCTCAGGACCCAACATCACCCGCCCAGCGTGACTCAGGTGAGAAGCACATGCTGGTCTGACTCTCCTGAACACACGCCGGCTTGTTTCGGGCACCCCCTGATCTTGCTGCACCTCCTTCCTAAGCTCTGCAGAGACTCTGCTGCTAGCGGGCAGACTTAAGCGTGACTCCTGCAGGCCCCTGTGTGGGGGACCATTGTCCCTCCGTCCTCCAGGGTGTTCTTTTCTTTAACGGCGTCCTCTTTGAACCCGCAGCCAACTGGAGCCGTTTGAGCCGACCGCTTTTCAGTCCACACTGAGGCGGTCTATGCAGCGATAAGCCAGCCCTCATTAATGTGTTGATGTATTCTGACGTGTAGCTGTCCCGTGGAAAACCTGTTGGCTTCTGAGCGTTTCTTCAACTGCAGCAAAGACAGACGGGTCTCTGTGCAGTGAGACACGCATGTCTAGCCTACCTGGGCGCCTTGGAGACGGGAGGATTGTCGGGCTTGGTTGAGGCAGCAGCGCTCGGCTTGGTGGGCGTTGTGTTGGCAGGCTTAGACACTAGAAAGGACAGGTGTTAGGAGAGGACAGGTGAGACAATAGTCCACAGTGATGGTGTCCTTCAGGACCAGCTGTGTGTGCAGGCCTTCTGACAGTCTTCATACCAACCTGGAGGCTTTTTAGCGGCTGCTGCTGAGGCGCTGGGTTTCACACCGTTAGCCGTGGTGGGTGTTGTCCTTTTGGCTGCCGGTGCTTTGCTTGTCGCCCTTGCACTGTTGGCAGCGGGGCCGGCCCCCGCGGGCTTCTTCTCCCCTACTTTAGTGGTGCTCTTGGGAGCCGGGGCCCTGGCTGCCCCGGCTGGGCTTTTGGAGGAGACCGAGGTCAGAGGGCTCTTTTTGTCGGAGGCAGGTGCGGTCTTCTTAGCCACTCCGTTAGTTTGAGGCTTGGTGGTGCCATTTGAGATGCAGCCCTGGGTCGTGGTTGGCCGTGGGCCAGACGCAGTCTTGGTTGAGCTCGCCGTGGTGCTGGGTTTTGTCTTCGCCAGGGCCTTGATGGTCGTCTTGGCTTTGGTGTCTTTTGAAGCCTTGCTACCGGGTTTGGCAGCTGGAGTTGCTTCGGCCTGCTTTGGCTGCGGCTCCACTTGACTCGTCTCTCCGACAGGCTGCTGTGGCGAGTTCTCCTCTGACGGAACGGCTGCCAGTTGGGGCTCCAGCCCTGTGGGCGGCGCTGCCTCCTCTACCGGATTGGATTCCAACGTTTCCGTGGACTCCAGCGCTGTTGTGGCGACCCCGTCCGGCTTCATCTCCCCTCTGGATGGGTGTGTTCTGTCTCAGCGGGGCAAGGCTAGCTGCTCTGACTCTCACAGGAGGACCAACAGCTGCAGAGGCTCTCAGAGGACAGCGAGGGGTGAAAGTCTGAAGGGAAGGAGAAGAAACAAGACCGTCATCAGCAAGACCAGACACGAAGAGCTGTCCCGTCTCCGCTATCAGCAGGCAGCTCTGGAATGATGCTAGCTTTAGGAATCAGATAAGCACCTTCCATCGTCTTCATCACACACACACACTCTCACACACGGGCACACATATGCACGCACACACACACATATGCATACACACACACACACATATGCACACGGGCACACACACACACACGGGCACACACACACACGCACGCACGCATGCACACACACACGCATGCACACACACGCGCGCACACACACACGGGCACACACACACACGCACGCACGCATGCACACACACGCATGCACACACACACGCAGGCACGCACACATGCACGCACACACAGACACACACATGCACACACACACACGCACACACACACACACACACACGCAGGCACGCACACACACAGGCACGCACACATGCACGCACACACAGACACACACATGCACACACACACACACACACACGCAGGCACGCACACACACACACACGCGCACGCACGCACACAGACACACACACACACGCACGCATGCACACACATACACATCTTGCCTTCACAAATAAGGGTGTACAGAAACACAAAAACATCCCAGAAGAGATGTTTTGACTCCAACTTGCTTTGAAACGTTTTTGTGGAATTATGCAAAAACATTTCAGAACAAGGACGTTTCTCATATTTTACACGTCTTGGTTGAGCTCCACTACCTCGCTGAGGGGACCAATCAGAGAGCGGCGCAGCTGTGTGGCAGTTGAGCAAATGTACATAACTTCATGCGTTTTGCCTGGAGTCCAGTCGAAGTATCGTGTATCCGTGCATTTTATCGGGTCGGGGGAAAAGCAGACGCGTCTGCTGCTGATGGACCAGCTCGCTCTACAAACAGCGCTCATGTAAACCCATCTGTGTGCTAGGTAACAGCCTCCCTCGTGCCACACTTACAAGCTCAGTGACACAGGTGGAGCGAGGAGCGGCGATGGGTCTGGCATCAGTCACTAGTGTGGAAGACTAGTTCCTCTAGCTCTTTTAAAGGAGGTGTGAACATGCTTGCATGCAAATAGCACACGGACTCATGCAAATGCCATCTGCAGGAACGTCTAATGAACTTCCTACTGGAGAAGCAGAACAGACAGGAAAAGATGGAAGGCTTGGATATATTTGCTAACTGGGTCGGGCTGTACCTAATAACCTCAAAGATAAAAGGAAATTATTTGTTGCAAGGCTTCACAGCTTTTAATAAATAAATAAATAAAAGTCTAATGGAGAGTCAGTCTGGCTTTAGATCAACGAGGTCAACATCTGGCAATAATAATGGCAGAAATAACAAAAACTTGCTGACCTGAAAGACGCTTGACACATAAAAGAGCGTTACGCGACGTGGAAAGGTACGGCGCGACGGCTGAAGCTAACAGTTTGTTGAAAAGTTATCAAATGGTAAATGGCCTGTATTTGATATAGCGCCTTCTAGAGTCCTGGAACCCCCCAAGGCGCTTTACAACACAATCAGTCATTCACCCATTCACACACACTGGAGGTGATGAGCTACGATGTAGCCACAGCTGCCCTGGGGCGCCCCGACAGAGGCAAGAACTGGCACCACGGGTCCCTCCGACCACCACCAGCAGGCAAGGTGGGGTAAGTGTCTTGCCCAAAGACACAACGTCAGCGACAGACTGAGCGGAGCTCGAACCTGCAACCTTCCGATTACAGGGCGAGCACTTAACTCCAGTGCCACCGTCCCCCGACAAACGGGGCAGTGCAAATCTGTATGGTGGGGTCCCACAAGGTTCAGTACTAGGTCCCAAAATGTTTAGTGTGTGTGTGTGTGTGTGTGTGTGTGTGTGTGTGTGTGTGTGTGTGTGTGTGTGTGAATAGAGTTACATCTGAACAGGAAATTGAATGTAAATTAAAGGGTGGGACTGGAAGAGCTACCACTGCCTCCCTTTCAAACACCTTCTGTTTCTGGTTTACAGCCCATTCTGCTGAGAACGTCTTAGTCAACATTTGGGTTTTCTTCTGTTTTGCTGACATTTTGATTGTTTGAAGCAAAACAAAAGACAGAACCTCAAAAACAGGAAGTCTGACTGGAAGAAAAGAGTCGGAGAAGTGGGAACGTTCATGTAGGAAAATGAGACAGATCTGTGATTGGCTGTTCTTTCTTGACACCGATATCTGATGAAGGTCCCAGTTCTCCCAGCTGCTTTGAGTGAGGCTCATAGGGAACGGGGGGAGTAACAGGAAACTGGCCTGTCAGAGTTTACCAACAGATTGAGGAGCCGGCTGAGCAGGAAGCCGAGCGGTGAGACAAACACTCGGGCAATGCGGAGGCCAGCCCAGAGGAAGAGGCTTGGCCCGTGGAGCATGGGAACAGAAAGCGAAGGCGGGAGGGAAACGGCAGCTAAAGACGTAAAATGAGCTCACTGTTGGCTGCTGTTTCCTGGTCCGAGTGTAAAATCCAGACATCACTTGTGATCCGAGTTTCCACTGTCCTCTAAAACTCTGCACCCGCTAACTCGTCTCCTGTAGAAGAGGGCAGAGGGCTTCTTATTCCCGTGTAGGCTTCGTCATGTTTCCGTCCCTCGTCGGAGATCTTCTCCTCATCCTCCAGACTATACCGTACACATATCCAAAGCCTTCTGTCATTCTGAACAGACCCCCCTGTCTCCAAACCATTTTCACCTCCTCGGTTCCCTTCTCCCCCGCTGCTCCAGCTCTGCATCTATTCCCCTGTTCTCGGTTTGCCACAGCACAGATGGCTGCAGCAGCTGAGCAGAGCCAGAGGGGGAAAAGGGCTCCAAGGATCCTAAAGGAGCAGGCTCAGACATCTAGTCCAACAGGCCAAACACCGTGACGGGTGGCTGCACCGCCGCTCACAAGGGGCTCACAAAATGTGGACAGTTGATTTAATTAAATTACAACCAGTGGGAGATTTTTCATGAGGGTGATGAAGGAGGGCATGAAGCTGGTGATCATCGAAACGAAGCAGCTGAGGGTTTAATCCAGCTGACTCCACGTGCTTGTGACGCCCATCACCTATTCTCTTCTCATTTAGCCGAGTTTTGCTAACAGAAACAAACCAGGAGATGAAAGCTTTCGATGTCTGCGTGTTTGGAAAGCTGTTGTATTATATAATCATTAACACTTTGATGATGCTTTATGGCAGGTCATTCGTGCGTTTATTGCTTTTGCTGAGAGCCGTTTTCCTACAGTAGGACTCACCAGGCTGAGAGGTCTGTGAGTTCACTTGAATTATTTAGTATTTTCACATAATTATTGTTATTTAGTTGTTTTACTACTTAGTCCAGGTCAGACGACCTGAAACAAAAACCCGAGTCGCTACCACCTCCATGACTGAACGTTACCGTGGGACGCCGAGCCCCGTCCAGGTTTAATTCCCTCTTTCCGTAAAACTGAATTTAGCTTCTGACCTTCCCACAGAAAACTCAAGTGTAGCCTGACTTCCCGTCCGCCTGCTGCTCTACCAAGCACCGAACGCTGCTGACGTGCGTGCTGGACAGAGTAATAAATCCTGACTGCATGTCCGTAGCCACAGGAACATGGCTGTTGCTGCTGCTAGTCTCCAGACAGCTGTGAGATTGCACTTCTCTCCGGCTGAACGGTTCAGGCACCCAGAACAGCGTCATCGGGACAATCCGTCACTGGGAAGCAGAAACGGGCCTCAAACCGGGCCAAGAATGTGCTTTTACCATCATTCTCCACAAACACGGTAGACGCCTGGAGTTCCTCCAACATTCATCAGCTTTAAAGCTTTCCAGAGTCCAAATACACGGAGCTGCTATTGAAGAGGTTTCGACTGTTTGCTTACCGTAAGTGAAAAAACTAGAGTAAAACTAATGCATCCTTATGGACTCTTTTCAGCCAGGTCCTTGCTCTCAGGAGACCTGAGACGATCTATCAGCAACAAAACACTCAGTTATTATCTCCAAACCTCGTCTGGCTGACAAAAGTCCAACTTCAGCTGAACAGAAGCAGGTCAGGTCTGGAGAACATGGCCTACGGGGGTAAAACCACAAGCTGGGGCAATCCAGGTGCTGGGCGCAGAGAAAGAACAGAAATATTATTGTTAATGAAATTATGGACGTTTCCAGATGATTCAACCCAACATGTGGACGAGCATCCACTCTGCAGGAAGCAGGGGTGAGGTTAGTCAGAGAGAGACCGCTGTTGGTTCAGGACAATGATCTAGACCAGCTGCAGACCTGCAGGTCGGCCCAGCCACGCTCTAGTGTAGCATCAGCTGGTCCACCATTGGACCAAGCAGTTTTATGTCTCACCAATCACAGCCCTCTGTTGGGCGAGCTCAGCACCAGAGAAAAACTACAAAGATGGCGTAGGTGAGTTCTTGCTGTGTCGTATCTCTAATTCCATGCTGTAGTTCTTTTTTAAAACACAGAGCAGTTTTGGTACCTGTTTTCCCGCGCACGGGGCCGCGTGCGCGGGAAAACAGGTACCAAAACTGCTCTGTGTTTTAAAAAAGAACTACAGCATTGAACTACAAAGATGGCGCTGGAACGGTGCTGTTTGAAATGAGAATGGCATCAACAAAGGACAATGTAGACTTGGGCATTTCATCGAGTCAAGAGCAGATAGAGGTGCTTAAGTCCTTTATTTAGGGTTAGGGTAAGACAGACGTCCCTGTTAACCGACATCTGTAGCGGTGAGAATGTCACATGATGGGGGGGGGGGGGGGGGGGGGTGTAGGATGAGGAGCATTTCTAAGAGGTTATGCAGGCATAAAGCATCTAGTTTTCCAGATGTCTCACCAGACGGAGTTCATCCATTTTGGTTTCACCCTTTTGTTTTTATAATTCATTATATGAAGTGTTTTTGCCTTTTTATGAAATCATTGGTGGAAATGTTCAGAAACGGTGTTTCCACAGGTGCTGAGGCAGTCTTCAGGTCACACCCCAGCCACGCTGTCTCGTTTGGGGTTGTC